GTGGGTGAAGTGTTTTGACCTGATACCCGACCGGTTTGGGTAGTGTACCCGGCCAGGTTTGTTTCCCAGTTTTTTTTTTGAAATGTGTAAAAATAAAGTAAAACAAGTAAACGTACCTTGCATGGGTTGCCTCCCAAGAAGCATCTTATTTAATGTCGCGGCACGACGCCATCATTGTGTTCAATCATTTAAACTTGGATCGTGATAGTTTAGCTTCACCACATTTTCACTCCTAGGGCTTCCATAGGAATGCTTGATTTTCTGACCCTTCACTTTGAAAATCCCTCCATGATCAAATATCCAGATTTTCATTGATTCATGTGGTGGGAGGGAGGGAAAGAAATTATCGTTTAACATGGTCAATGGAAAATGTTTGGATCCCTCAATTTTGCTGAGAATTTAAAAAATGTCACTCTCCTTTTCAATTTTATGAGTTTCCCACAAATTTTTTAGAACTGATGGGGGTACCTCAAAGAATGATAAGGATAGGTATTTGAAACTCGGTTCATCATCTTCTTTGACCAGCTGGAGCTCCGTGTCTTTTTCTTCTTCCACTTCTTCTGGATTCTGGATCTCCTTTTGCATTTCCTTTTCATTTGTCAATGTGATTGCAAAAGTTTGTTGTTTAGGATCACATTCTATTTGAGAAGGAAGTTTTTCCGAATCCCTTTCTTCAAGCCTACTCACGGCTCCGGCTATTTGACTCATTTGAGTTTCCAAGTTTAAAATGTTAGACTTGGTCTCATTTTGGAATTGCACCATGTTGTTTTGCATGGTGCTCATGTTGGTAGCAATAGCCCGGACCATATCCTCCGTAGACATGTTAGAGTTGGAGAACGGATCATACCTCATGTGAGGTACATCCCTTTCGTAACCAACATCATCAATTCGTTCAAAGTATTCATCTTGGAGCCTTGGGCAGAAATCCGTAAGATGCCTATGAGACATGCAAATGTTGCACGTCTTGGCATCTTGAGCTTAAGGTAAATTCCTTTATTAGATAAGTCAAGAAGGAAATTTGACTCTCTAAGGATGAAGTGTTGGTATCCATATACTCATAACTCATGTAAACTCAGGGAATAGAAGAGTAAGTTTTTTTTTTATGTTTTTTTTTGTTTTTGATTTTTTATGAGATAAAATTAAAAGAAAAATAATTGCCTTTCCCCAGCAACGGCGCCAAATTTGATGAGCACTTTGTCACGGTGCGTTAAAATAATTCGATACCAAGACTTATACGTAGTATAGGTGAAGTAGAGTTCGTATCCACAGGTAAAGGAACAATTCTCTTTTTATGAAACTTTAGTAAATAAAGGGGGGTTTTAGTGATGAATGATTTCATTAAATTAAAAACTAAGATGAACGACTTATATGAGATTTAATTCAAGAATAAAAGGGACTTGGCTTTGCTACTTTCCACTTGTTGATATATTTTAGTCGATCCTTGTTATATCTATAACTTATCCCCTCTCGAATACTCAATCGAGGAGTATCTCCAATTCATCGAGGGTAGTTATTAACAACGACCGTTCATTAATAACTTTTACTATTAATCAAATATAAAACAACGCCGTATACCGATTATAATAGTAACATTCAATCTTTTTAACTCCTTGATGAAATCAATTAAGATTGATAACCTTAACACAACGGTTTTGGTTTAACCAACAAAATTGATCTCTCTTAAGTCTATTAACCACGACCGTGCATTAATAAACCGAAGTTACTTACTTATGAAACCATCAATGATTAACCATCGGTTCATTGATCGTTTCTAGTAGTAATTAATGTCGGAACGTTTACTAATCGTCACTTAGCAACCCTCCAACATTAATATAGAATGAGATTAAGGGAAGAATTAATAATCAAGAGAAGAAGTTAAGAAAATAACTCACAACTTTAATAATCAACAAGCTTCAAGAGCAAAACCAAGAAATGGAAGTTTAGCTCCTCATTTGGAGACTAAACATGCTATAAAAATATAAGAAATACTATTCTAAATTGAGCTTAGGAGTATAGAAGAAGGGATGATTTTTACAGAAGAAAAAGTGTGCTATTTATAGGTGTTTTTCAACACCTGTGACCGGGTACCCGACCGGGTCAAGTACTTACCCGGCCGGGTCCAGTCAAAATCAGATAATCCGTCACGTTCTGGTGATCTTCGCACGTCGTTTTGTCCCGGGTCACATCTGACCCGACCGGGTCAAGTAGGGGACCCGACCGGGTCCAGTGATTTTCTTGGCAATTTTGTCTGTTAAATCATACCCGACCGGGTGGGGGTTTCTACCCGGTCGGGTTTTACTCCTGGACAGTCAAAGTTCTTGTTTTCTTCTCTTCAAAGTCTTCCTTTTCAACACCACAAATCCTAACTATACTTTACAACTTATAAATAAAGACTAAAATACAATTACAACTGAAATCATATAAATGTTTACAAACTAAATAAAACGTGAAACAATCAACATAAATCAAACATAAAAACATTTAATTATGCACTACTAATTAGTGTGCATCATACTTGTTAGGAGCTCTGCAATCGTTATGCCCAGGTTGTGTGCGCAGAGTTAGTAGAGCCGAGAAGTTTTCGCATAGGAGAACAATTTGCGCAGAGATGTTTGATAAAAGGCGAGTTTGAAAAGATAATTTACTAACCAAACGCAGTCTCCGACTCTCTTTTGCATTGCCCCCTTCAACCACCGGACGAGTCCTTCTAATGTGTCACACCTGTAGCCGGAGGACGACCGTCGCTATAATCCTTGACGTCGGACTACTGCTGCTGAAGCGACTCCCCACCTATAAATTTTTTGAATAAAACTTCCCAATTTTGTTTCCACATCGATGAGCTTTTCTCTCCCGATAGGAAATCGTCCCAGTCTGTATGGAAGAAGAATACTCCGTATTATATTATAGCATGAAGTCAAACGAATTTGGCAGAATAGCAGAGCAGTGCGTAGGTCGAGACGGAGATCGAAGAGTTTGTGCGCAGAAAAGAAGATGAAGATTCAGATCCGTCTACGAGAGGGCGACTAGGGGTTTTTATTTCGTTTATTTAATTAAAAAGAGGGGAAAAATAAAGCATCTCCATTGAAGGTAACAATTGAAAAGTGCACCCCCTTACTACGACAGTTTTTTAGCAACCCGTCGTTATAAGAATAAAATAAAAACATTAAAAGAGATATAACGTCTGTTTTTAAAATAACCGACATTAAATAACTTTATTACGAAGTTTTTTCAAAAACCGACGTTAAATGAGTGACGTGGTATGTCATTCTTGTAGTAGTGGTGGGGGACTTGTGTTGGGTTAATGGCCCAATGGAGCTTGGCCCATAAACCTTTAAGGCCTACCCGACGAACATCCCCAGAAGGACCAAGACAACGGGATGCCCTTCCCATCATCTGGGGGACGTACGTATCCTAGCGTAGGCAGGTACCTTGGCCCAGGAGCAGAACAAGACGCACGTCTTGCAGGACTTGGCCCACCAGGAAACAGGAGGCAAGTCCATGGGGACGAACGTCCCTAGAAGGCCCAAGACAACAGGATACCCTTCCCCATCATCCAGAGGACGTACGCATCCTAGCGTAGGCAGGTACCTTGGCCTAGGAGCAGAACGAGACACACGTATCGCAAGACTTTGGGCCCAACATGAAACAGAAGGCAAGCTCATGGGGGCGAACGTCCCCACCCCTTAGCGGACAGCCAAGATCCTGGCGGGATTCTGCATTCAATACAGAAGATTTGGTGGTTGCGCATTTAATGCAGAAGATTTGGTGGTTGGGATCAAGCTAGGCAAGCCCATGGGGATGAACGTCCCCATCCCTTGGCAGGAAGCCAAGATCCTGGTGGTTGCGCATTTAATGCAGAGGATTTGGTGGTTGAGATCAAGTCATCCATAGCTGGGTTCAACGCATCTAACTACCTATTGGCGGTATAAATAGTAGCATTTATTTCATTGTAACGGAGGGGAACTTAGCACTCTAGTATTATAGCATTCTTATTATCTCGTAGCATAACATCTGTATGAACGACCTCACGCCTTGTAAGTACGAACGGCCTCACGCCTTGTAACAGTGGAATTAAGCTAAGACTTCTTATTGGGTCTCATCTTACTTGTTTGACCACATTCTCCTAAACTACACACTCGAAGCCCTTAGGTTATGTGTTGGACCTACGGGTTGAAGGAGATAAACCTCAAACATATTGATTCTTAGTGGAATAGTGAAAGATGTAACCTTTTAGTATGTAATGGTGGGATAAAAAGATTACTTCATGTAGTCTGTTAGGAACATTAACTGTTATGAACAATAATAATATCATAATTGACATTTCATCTACTTATATGAGTCCCTCCGCCAAAATTTTAATTGACTTTTGTAAAAGTGAAATTGTTTCTGCTTATTGATTTATAAGCATCGAAGTGAACACCAAAAACTAACCACGAAGAAAGTTTTGGATTAAAAATATGGATTTTGTAATGAGATCGTTTAAGATAAAAGATGCAGATATCCCAACACAGAAATACAACAATCATACGATAGTATATGCTTTGTCACATGAAGTTAGTGGTGGACTTAATTCATGGGACCAAACCAGGACCTTCTTTTACGGTTTGGGGTTGGGACCAGTGATAGACCCGTGGGTATGTAGTCGGGCCCCGGTCCTGGTTGAGGGATTTGGGGATCGAGACCGGTCCGGTCCCTGATCAGTCTTTTTTTTTGGGAAAGTTCTCGAAATAGGACTAAAACAGTTTGAAAATTCTAAAATAGGATTGTCATGTTTTTTATTCCTAAAATAGAACTAATTACTGTTATGTTGAGAAATAATGCCATGTTTGAAGTCTGGTACTGCCAAAACATGGCAGTAATTAGTCTTATTTTGGGAATAGAAACATGACAGTTCTATTTTGGAATTTTCAAACCATTTTAGTCCTATTTCGGGTAATATTCTCTTTTTTTTGAATTCAAAACATTATAAGAATTGTAAAAGAGGTGTAAATTCATTTAGAAGCTAAAAAATGTAAGATGGGTTGAAGGGTTTAAAAATGCATAAAAAATTAAAAAAAACACAATATAACAATTATATCAACTATACTACGTATAAAGTAATGCTACAAAATAGAGTAATATTTAAGGGGAACACAATTTAGGATATCGAAAGAAAAACTAATTACACTCCACCAATTAAGCAATAATCCCATTTTTCACACATTGCCTATACTTCACTTTCAATGTGCTTCCACCGTGTGGATGCATAATGTCGCAACATTCACATATGTCCATCTGAAACAATAAGAGAGTTCACCAATATTATTAATTATATCATGCATGTTTAGAATTGAATTTTGAAATGTTTAATCTCAAATTGGATTATTGGGAATAACCCTTATAAACGTAACTTTGGTCATTCAGATACGAGAAAAGATTATAGAAATTGCTCTAAATAGGAGCAAAAACGTTTTAAAATTCCAAAATAGGAGTTTCATGTTTTTTATTTCCTGAATAGGAGTAATCTGCCAAGTTTGGAAAAAAATGTCATGTTTTAAAGCCTAGTAATGCCAAACTTGGCAGAAATTTACTCATATTCAAGGAATAAAAAACATGATACTCCTATTTTGGAATTTCAAAACTTTTTTACTGCTATTTAGGATATTCTCTAAAAAGATTATTACCTGAGGACGTTTTGTGAGCGGAGAGTAAACTTCAATCCTAAAAACATAGTCAGCCGAGTTGTTGCCGGTAACTGAATTCAAAGAACACGCCGGCAATCCTCTCGCCGACGACCGGAGATACGTCATAACGATTCCATCCTCCGCCGTTTGGTTAGCAGTTTTAAGGAAGAACACGTGCGGGGATTCGCACGGATCGTCGGAAGGACGGCGAGTGTTGAACATATAAAGCGGATGGTCCATATTACCCTTGGCTACCCACGGCTTGAACGTTTCGATCGGCATCTGCAAGTAGCTCCGAGGATGGACTTTCTCGTAAATGTGAACCGAGTAACCCCACGAAACGGAAATCGTCCAGCTGGCATTTCTGTGGTAGCAAATGGTCTGTTGTAACATGCGAGTTTGGTCGTATTTCGCCGCCGATTTCAGCAGATGTCGGGCGGAGTCAAACCGGCCCATTGACGGGAAGATGGGCTCCACCATGTCCAAATGATGAAGGGATAGCAATGGATCTTTGGGATGGGAGGATAGGAAACCGGACAGGTCCCCATGTAAGTCAACCTAGAACAATCCAAAATAATTAATTAATTAGCATAAGTAATTGATTAGTCCATTGGTGGGGGCAGCAGGCTCCGGCGGTGGTGATAGGTGATAGTCCAACAACTTGGTCCAATCATAAATATATAGTCTTATTTAAGATACTCTAAAGCAGTTGTTTCTGGATTTAGAAAAACTAATCCTTATGTTTTAGTTTTATTTAGGTAAATTTGCCTATTATAAAATCTAATCATAAATTTAAAAGAGGAGTATTTGGGATGTTTCAATTCTGGTCTAGTTTTAACTGTTCTGGTCTATTTGGGCTATGTTCGTTAGACCATTTTAGCTAATAAAATAAGTTGATATGTTATACATTCAGTCAATAATTTTAAAATATGAACTGCTCAGATGCATGTAATGCTTGTGTTGACCGAAATGAAACGTGCATAGGACAAGCCCGTTCGCAACATGTACTCTCAAATGATCTGATCAGTCTGAACTAACGGGAACCGTCGTTCGACCAAGCCCCTTTCGAGGATTTTTAGCTAGGTCAATTTTTTCATGAAATTTTTTGATCGTGTTCTTCATAATATGTAGAACTTTCACACAAAATTTTAACTTAAAACTCAATAGGGAAGTCAATTAAATAAAGAGAAAAAAGCCCTATATAGGACTAAGTTAATCTATAAATGCACAAATAGGACTATGTTATTAATCTTTCCTAAATAGGACGATAGTATACTTTACTTCCTTTTCTACCCTTACCACAACTTAATAGGATAATGACATTTTAATTTGTAATAAATACAAAAAATAATAAAAAATATTTTAAGTTATACAAAAAATCGTAGAAAATAAAAAAAATCTTTAAAATATTTTTAAAAACACGAAAATCATAAAAAAAAAATTTAAAAAAAATATCAAAACTTTAAAAATAAATAAAAATTAGATAACACCTTAAAAATATAAAAAAATGGAGGCCTTTCCCACGGTCTCGGCTACTGCCCAACAACTTTATCTCTGATTAGCTAAAAAATGCTATTTTTGTGTAAAAATTGCCATTTTTGTTCTGAAAATGCCATGAAGATGACATTTTTACTCTTGAAAATGCCAAAATTTTTCTTGCAAACTGCCATCAAGATGACAATTCTGACACATGTTGGCATTTTTTCAGGTGATCGGAGCTGCTAGTGCCGGGAGGTTGCTGAGGCGGCAGCATAGGCCTGCATATTTTTTATATATTTTTACATTATTTACTTATTTTATTTTTATTTTTTAAGTTTTTTTTTATATTTTAAATAAAGTTATGTTTATTACTTTATATTGTAATTATTAATGAAACATGAATTATATGAAAACAAAGAAAGGGTATAATTTGAAAGCTAGTCCTATTTAAGGAATTTTTAAGTTATGGTCTTATTTTGGCAATTAAAATTATATTAAGTCCTGTTTGGAAAATTTTCCCTTAAATAAATTACTCCGTATTAAAAAACAAAACACTTTAAAACCACTCATATTTTGGTTTTCCAAAAGTTGTGGAGTTACTCCCTCCGTCCCGGTCATTTCTTACAACTTTCCTTTTTGGACCGTCCCAATTAATTCTTCCAACTTCCACTTTTGGAAAACATATGTGGTTCACATTCATTCACTTTTTTCTTACACAACTACAACCATACATTTTCACTTTATTCCCGCTACCTAAATTTGCGATACCGATCAAAACTAGAAGAAATGACCGGGACAGAGGGAGTAATATTTTTACCAATTCTCCAATATAAATTACCTGATGAAACCCTTTGAGCGGTGTGAGATTAACGCCAAGATCAGATATGCACAGCATGGTAATTGTATCGGCAGATCTTACCCGTGCATATCTCCTTAAACAACTCTCCATACCCTCCGACAGCGCCGCCGCCAGAGGGTAACTAAGAATGAAACCGGCGCCGCCGAATCCCTGGTTGAACGAGAACCAGTAGTTTGACTTCACAAACTCCGACTGCCCGCCGAAGTAATAGTACTTGGTATGATCATATGCCGCCAGAACATCAACCATGTTGTCCACGAAAAACACGGAGTCGTCGTCGCCCATAACCACCCATCTCACCTCCTGCTGCGGCGGCGACCGCTCCCTGAACACCTCCATGATTCCATGCACCATGCGCGCCATGACTGGCGCCACGTGCTTCGTTTCTCTGATCATCGCGCTTATGTCGTCGGACACCCTGTACGGCGGCGAAGCCGTCGACCATGGCATGAGTCCCCCCTTCGGCGCCACGTCGAGATATAGGAACCCGCGGGTCTCCCCGGGCCGCCACCACGCCTCGACGTAGGCCTTTCGGTAGTGCCATGCCTTTTCCGAGCCGAGGAGGCCGAAGAGCAAGTGGCTGATATTCGTCGGGGACGAACCCGTTATATTCTTTCCCAGCGGGTTCAGCGCCGGGAAAGAGGGTGATGACGATAATGATAGAAGCTCTTCCACCGGTGAGCAACTCGGGTTCTTGAAGATGAAAATTGCGGCCATGTAGAGCACTATGCCTGAAATCAGAACGGCCTTGCAAAGCCCAGCAACAAAGAACCGATCAAACAAAGAAACTATCTTTTCTCTCATCTGAATAGTCAGAAAATCATTAAGTTGGCTTATTGTATGATGATCCGAAGTGTTATTCATTTTATCGCTGTTAACGGATCATTTACTTTCTTTTCCAAATTTGAAGGTTAGAGAGTTTCATTTTCAAAATCAAATGCCATTAAATACGCTAATAAATTTTTATTGAGAGAATTCCCCAAATAGGAGCAAAACATAGGGAAAATGCAAAAATAGGAGTACCATGTTTTGAATAGGAGTAACTTTAATGTTTGGACAAGTATACCCCTACCCAAGCCCCAATAACTTTTAATTAAATGTTTAATTCATAATAAATTCGAAAAAAATTCAAAAAATCGTAGAAAAATAATTAAAAATTTATAAAATATTAATAAAATAAAAAATTTAAACAAAAATAATTTTTTTATTTTTTTTAAAAAAATTAATAGAAAAATAGTAAAACTCCATAAAAAATTTAAAAAATAAGGATGCTTTTCCCACCGCTTGTACTACCTCCCTACACCACCACCTCGGGGCGGTGAAAAAAATTCCATTTTTCCTAAAACTTTTTTTTTTTTGAAAATGCCAAAAACATGGCATGTTTCTCTTTGTGAATGCCAACATTTTCATTGTTTTCTGCCATAAATATGGCATTCGTAATGAACTTGGCAGTTTTTCCCATGGTGACCGGAGGTGATGGTGCTGAGGCGACAGAGGCGGCGGTGAATTTTATTTTATTTTTTTGAGTTTTTTATTTTTTTTTAAATATATTTTTTTTTTTTTGAAAAATAAATAAATAAATAAATTATTATTATCGAATAAGTCATAAAATAACTAGGTTAGGATTAAATAAGTCATATTTTAGAATTTACTAGGTTAGGGATATTAAGGGTACAAAATTAATGTTTACTCCTATTGAAGGAAGTTTTAAGTTTTACTCCTATTTGTACAATTATGTTTATATTTACTCTTATATTGGGCAATTTCTAATTTTTATTTTATTTTTGTGAAATGAATATTATTCTTCCTACCTCCTCCGTTCATATTATATCTTTCATTTCACTTTGACACATAATTTAAGAAAAGTGGGTATTGTGTGACGAAGAATTGTGCAAAGGAGAGAGAAATGTGTAAGAAATGTTCTGAATCAATAATTATTTACCAAAAAGGAAAAATGGAAGTTTAATTAAAAAGAAAAGTTGGAAGATATAATGAGAAGTAAGGGAGTAGTATAATAAAGTACACCGTCAAAGTTGACTCAAAGTCAACCATTTTAGTGGCCCATGTTTAGAGACTTATCCTCAAACTTAGGGAGGAGACAATTTGGACGATATATATTTAGATTGAAATTTCAACGGTTGTAACTAAAAGAGTGCTTTTCGATCTCTACAAGACTAATTATGAGAGTTTGTGTATACAAGGACGGACCCAGGAAAGTCATCTTGGGGAATGAAAATATTTATTGAAGGGTTCAAAATATTTTTTGAGAGAGATAAGAAAATTATTTTTCATATATATATATATACACTAAAAAAATTTCTTGTTGGAGGACGGTAGCCACATGCTAATATAATAATGCCATAAGCAGAAAACTAAGCTAACAGGTTAGGTACTTAGGCCCAATACTAATTAGTAATTACGTACATAATTAATCCGGAGAGCTCAGGTTGAGATAATATATACTCTATCAGGCGCAAATGTAAATGAATAAAAGAACTCTTCTTTCTCCATCGATGATGTTCAAATAAACCGTTTTTGTGCCATGCCACAGAGGAAATCTTAAATACTCCGTAATCACTAGTATAAAAATGTTCAAGCAAAATTTTGATAAGCTAAAACTAATTAAAATGAAAATGATATATAGATCGGGACTTGTACAAGAACAAATAATGAAGATGACAAGTGAGCATATAAGAGTGGAGTTCGGTATATTATTCGAATCTGTCATAAAGGTTGGTCAATTACAATTAATATCTTCCTTAATCACATTAAAGAGCCTAATAATACATAGAAAACGTTACAATAATTAAGATTAAGACTTGTGAATGGTCCATTAACTCATGCGGTCAACCCTCTGATCTTTAATGCCGCATAAACCATAAAATTCTTGCTCTAACAAAAAATTTAGTTATTTCGCCTCAATCATAATCTTTGATTATTGGGAATTTTTGTATGTGCATGCATTAAAAAGACTATACTAACTCTTCTCAAATCTCAAATTCTTATAAAAATGTGTGAATATGCTATGTTTTCAATTGACAAGCTAATATGCTCTCACAAAAAGGAAAAAGTTACGGTCACACGCAGGGCCGGTCCTGGGGGCAACAGGGGCGACCGCCCTAGACCCGAAAAAATAGCAAAAAAAACAGGTCCAAATTTTTTTCTTTAAATATAGCGTGAGTAGGATTCTTTTTTGTATTTTTTGAATAATCTTTTTTCTGTTTTAAAACTAATTTAATTAGGACCAAGGTTTAATTTTGTTCATAATTTGAAAATTATAAAAAAAAACTTCAAAAAAAATATATAAAAGGAATGTAATGTGTCTCTCCCAATCCCCAATATCCCAAATTCCTAAACTACCGATTACAGAACACTCCAATTGACTTATCTACCCCATCCCAAACATGAAACTCCCAATAACCCAATTACACAAATACAAATCATTAAATCCACTTCGTCACTTCATAGTTTTGTTTGTTTTCAATTTTCAAGGTTACCTAAAGACTATAGTGATAATTGAGAAAGTCGATCTCTCTTGGAATATCTTGGCTGACTAGCCATTCGGCTGCAACTGCAAGGCGCAAGCCTTCAATTCTTCAAGTCTGTCAACCAATCCAGGAGCGGAGGAGCCTAAACGTCGGCCGGCGATTACAAGTCTAGAACATCTTCTTTCAACTTTCAAGGTTTCAAACAATCTACCAGTCACCAGGGGTCAGTAAATTAATCTCAATCTATTAGCTATAAATGATGAATCTATTAAAATTTCCTTTGATTTATGATTAATGATTTGTGATATATCCTTGCAATTGCAATTTGTATATAAAAAATGTTTTTGTTATATGATGCATTTTTATTGTCTTGTTAAATTGATATCTCATATCCGTGTGACTGTATGCTATTGGCTATGGACCCTATTGTGCAATTTTGAATTGTTTTATTGTTTTTTTACGATTGTGAAGGTGCTTGATAAAATGCGTGAATCTGATTGAGAAAAGGAGAAAAAGAAACAAAGATTAGAAAATGCAGCTTAAGTCAAAAGGGGGCAATGGAAAAATATGTTTTCGTTAAGAAGTTGAATCCTTAAAATTCTTTTCAAGGTGAATCGCCGTTAAATTCTTGTGCGAATGAAAATCATAACACGTCTGGGAATAATGGTATTGGTGCAGAAGCCGCAAATGTTGAAACCGAGCCAGATAAATGTGATTTAGGTGAAGAAAATAAATCAGTGAGGGTCATGTTTCGTTTCACAATGTTCGGCGAGAAACGTTTTTAAGTAATATTTTTCTTTTTATGTGATACTTGTTACTTTTCATCAAACATGTTATTTAAATATTAATAAAGTGAATTTCGTCTTTATTTTTTACCTTTATTCAATTATTCGGTAGTTTTATTATAATCTATGTTTGTCTTATAAATTTAGGCTCAACATAGTGTCTGGCCCATGGACCCAAAAATCGACAGGACTGGCCTTGGTCACACGCCCAGACAAATTTAATTTTCATATAGGTTGCATAAGCTTTTCAAAATAATCGGGATTATATACCGGATTTTTTTAAAAAAAGCTTTACAAATAATATCTTCTTTTCAATCATAATCTAAACACCAACTATTTCAACAAATTATATCTAAATAATCTAAGAAGCTCCAAATACATACGTTAATGTACGTTAGTAAAAGAAGCAACAACCCGCACGGGTAGCTCAGTTGGTTCAGTGATGGAAAATTTGGAACATTGATCAAGATTCAAAACCCGTAGCGGCCGTGTGGAGGTTACAACTCCTGCGTGCTGGGCTGGACCTCTGGTCCGCACAAATATAAGGTCTATCATCATTAGGCCGACTGAGTTACCGTGATTTACATCCTTTCAAAATCCTGTCGAGTCGGGGTGTAGGGGCCCTTATGGTTGGAGTATTCAACCTTAAAAGAAGCAGTGTTAATTGTTAAGGAAAAGTTGTGGCGGAAAATCTTTATGCATTCCATGGAAAAGGATACAAATATGGGAAGCCCTATACGTGTGATTGTGTGAACCTCTTTGCCAAAAATCAAAGATCCTTCGCGAAATAAAACAAAATATTATATGGAAACTCATTTAATAAATGTCTTAATAAAATTATAATAGTGCAAGACAATTTTCCTTCTTTAGTCCATGCTTGCGTCCATACTTGGGCAAAATACAAAATTACTTTTTGCATTTTAATACCTAATTAACTCTAAAATCAAACAAATTAATACTATAACTATAGGTAAACATTTCAAACAACAATATTATCTTTGTCCCTCTAATTACAAGAGAGTGATGCGATTATTAAGAAAAGTAGAATGGTGTGGTTAGTATATAATTTAATAAAGTGTGAATAAAGTAAGCATAAATCATAATCACCCAAATATTATCAAATATGTTATGAGACAAAGTTGGTGGGACGGATGAAAAAGGTAAAATAAGACAAAGATAAGGGGACAAAGAGAGTATTGTTGAAATTTGTGACCAAGAGATCCTACGTGGTGGTCGAAATATCATGCGTAACCATACATTGGTTGTACGGGTGGAGTCAGGGCACTAGACCGATACAAAGAATATTTTAAGTAAAACGATAATGGCAACGTGTGTTGCTTTTTAATCTTTCACGACCCTAGACAAGTACATAATTCAACCTAAGTCTCCACTCACTCCAAATTTAAAGATGCTTTAATTTTTAGGTAAAAATTGCGTATATATTTTTTCAAAAATATTTTTGTACAAGTTCAGTCCAACTCAATACCCTAACTCCGCTCTTGAAACCCATTCACTAAGTAGTACTCCTTATATTAAACAATTAACTCTCACTTTTCATTTTTCCACATCCCAAAATAAAATCCACCCTTCACTTTTTTTAAATCGGAGTATTTAAGTAATTAAGTACACTTTTTCCCCTATGAAAAGTGGA